CCCCAAAACCCCAAAACCCCAAAACCCCAAAACCCCATTTTGTGACAAAATCATTGGATTAAATAACAAATTATTCAGAATTTCATGGAACTTTGGCTCATTGTAAGCTGGATACTCAGTATCACATTAAGTCTCAATTCTAAGATTATCCTCATGCATCTTGATTTTAATGGATCCATAAGTTTTCTAATAAGATCTCCATGTATTCTTGGAAGTCCTATATTTTGTACAAACCTCAGCAACATTGTATCCAAAAATTAATACCTCATGGTTGAAAGATGAAGAACCGTTAATTTCAGAATGAATTCCTCTATTATAGTTTTCTCCGAGTTTTCAGTTATCTCAATAGCACAGCCGATTGATGCATAACTACCAATTTTTCCATTCATCATATCCGTTCCTATAACTTACCTGTATCCCAAAACATATTTGCTAATAAGGAACAGACCAGAGATTTTTAATCCACTTTAACCTGCTTTAGGAGATTGACTCTTGTAGTCTCTTAAGATATTAAATTCTGAAATTAAAGCTCCTTACCACCAATATCATATGCAATATAGTTTTCATGGGAAGCATATGCGAGGCCTTGATTCCTTGCAAATTTATAGATAGAGGCTGATTCTCCTCCAATACAAGTTTCCCCGACTTTGCAGTTTATCACTAGTTGAGATGAGAGACCAACTTGTGGAGCTCTTGTATTATTTTCTTTAACAAGGCCATGAAATTAAGCCTATCACCAAAAGCAGAGATAATTCCTTGGACTCAACATAATCCATAATAAATTGGTATATGTTTATTCCTGATGATAGTTAAGCAATTTGTTCTGTTTACATTATCCTATCTCAACTACTCAGAAAGCTCTTCGTATTCCATATCTTATCGACTTGGATCATTATCTAGAACAGCTCAATCATCAAATATATTCTATAACCCCTCATCAAACTCTCACATTTCCATACTTCCTATCTCCAACAACAAAAATACCTCCAAAAAATATGATCGCCAACTTAAAATAATTCTCCTAAAATCAATAAATTTCTTCCCAAAAGGGGTTTTGGGGTTTTGGGGTTTTGGGG